GTCTGTGTGTGTATAAGAAAGAAAAGAATCAACAATATGAAAACTAGTTCTACATGTCTAAGCATCTCCATGGCTGTTTGTCAGTGTTCTCCTGCTGTTGAGATGACTTTGACCGGATGTTTTCTATTTAAAAGTTGCCTTCTGGGCCAGCTGATAGCATGGAAGTTAAGATGGCTAGCTCCCACAGGGTTGACTGCATAGTTCCAGTCCCCGAACTAGCAGCTTGAGAAACACACTGGGCACAGGTGTTTAGGTGCCCAGCATTCCGAGAAGAGAGTGGAGGAGAAGGGACTGTAGCATAGCCATTTAACTGAGGGGTGCTTTCTCTCCTGCTCTTTCTCTCTCTCAGGCAATCACATGCACCATATAGGAAATTTCTAACAATAAACACAGATGCCGTCCATCAACTATGTTTGAAATGAAAGCTGTTTCATATGCTTGAATTTTGACTGAATTTATACTTTTACAGTTTGGGTGAAAAAAATGGTTTTATGATTGCTGTTGGGATGCTTTCTTCTTCTTTATATCCTTTATTTATTTTTTAACATTTTGTTTTATTTTTTCTTTTTAAAAATTACTTTATTTAACTTTTATTTATTTATTTTAATTTGACCAGAGAGGGGCAGAGTAAAAGAGAGAAAGAGAGAGAGAGAAAGAGAGAGAGAGAGAAAGCAAGCTGCCAGGTTTGGGATTTGAACCATGATCAGCCATGTGGGAGTCCAGCGCTTTTATCCACTGTACCACCTGCCGGCCCCTATATCCTTTATTTTAACTAGATTACTTATCTACATGACTTTTTAAAATTGATAATTGTTTGTATTCTTGTTGCTTTTCCTACTTTTATGGGTTCATACTCAATTCCTAACATAAAAATTTCTAGTGAAAAACTTCAGTCTTTTTGTCAATTTATGTAGGCATATGTACTAGTGACATTCTATGCATGACTTTTACCCCATAAGAAATGATGACAATTTTAAAATTTTTATTAAGATTAGGTACCAGGCTTAAGGGGTACAAAAGTTATGTAGTCATTTTAGTTTTAGGAGAAATCATAAATAATTAGTCTATTACTTTTGGAACTAAAGATAATGATGATTCAGTATTTTAAAATTAAGGCCACTCTGACCCCTCCCCAGATTATTTCCCAAATTTCTTCTCTCATGTTATATATGCCTCATGCTGTGTTAAAAACTTTATTTAGTTAAGTATTGTCATATATGAAAACAGTACCACCAATGATGGCATTAACATATTTATATTTCCTCTGTGTCTTCCACACCCTGCCGGTAGTCAGGGAGCTCCAGCCTTCAGGCTTCACATTCTGGTGCAGTGTCGCATTTATCTCAAGTCCTCGCTTTCCTTTATTCTGTACTTTTCTTTCAATTCTTTTTTTTTTTTTTTTTAATTTTTTTCGCAATGTATGTTTGGTTTTCTTTTATGCATCATTGTTGTTATTTTTAATTTGATGGGTGAGAGACAGAGAGAAAGAGAGTGAAAGGGAGAAAGCAGGCCTCCAGTCCAGCATTTGATCCACGGTTGGGGTTGGCCATGAGGGAGTCCTACGCTGTCAGCATCTCCCCAGCTGCAGGCCTCCTCCTTTCAAGTTCTTTTTTTTTTTTTTGCTTGACTCACAGGCTTTATTTACATTTGTCTACAGCATCATTTCCTTATGAAATGAACTAGTACAGCTTAAACCAAATAAAATCATAATCATCTGAATTGTCTGTAAACTACTATTAGCTAAATTTATAACCTTGTATTTGCCTAGTACAGCCAAAGTTTTAAATACAGGGAACCAGCAGTTAGCGTAATGGCTGTGTCGCTGGACTCCCACGTAGTCGACCGCGGTTCACGTCCCGGACCCGGTGGCTTAAAACTCACGCCGGGTGCGTGTGCGTGCGTGCCCAAGATCCCTAGAGGAGAATGGAGGAGAAGGGATTGCGGCGTGACCATCCCCCCTGGGGGGTGATTTCTCGCTTTCTGTCTCTATGTCTCTCTCTGTCTGGTGAGTCGAAAAGTCTGAGGCACAACCACAAGAGAGTAAAAATTCTTGTGCAACCTACAGTAAATGTAGCAACACAAATTAAGACATGAGAAACATCGGAAAGCTCACTGTAAAAATATTCATCAAAGTATTTCTACAGAAGATATTTTGCTTTCATCTTTAGATTGCTGAAGAGAAAAACATTTAAAAAAACCTCAGATTTAATTTTTGTTGCGTGTGTCTACTAAATACTTTAAAATGTTTTAAATTTTCATTTAAATTGTAGCAGACAATAAAGGGGGGGGAATCAATGTCCCATAACAAGAAGTTCCCAAGCACAATTTCTGATTTCCCTTAATACAATATACTTACCTTACATTGTCACTGAAGACACTGTTAAGAGAAATCTTTTTGTTTTTGAGCCAGAAAACAAAATGGAGCTCATGTGACCAGATTTCAATTCTGAGAAATAAAACAAACTGAAAGCATTTTAAGCCATAAGTTATTTCAAGTGAACAGGAAACATAATGATTTTTTGCTTACATCATGCAGAATTTAAGCATTCATTTGTTATTCAGAAGAAAATTTTAGGCAGTGTGTTTAAAGTTAGATAGCTCAACATAATGTTCACTTAAATTTACAATGTCTCTGTTGGTCTTTTGCCTAAAGAGAAATATATTTCAAAAGCTTTCTTCAGTTTGTGCCATTGACTGTATGATTTACACTTTTCTACCCTTATTTGGTAAATGAATTTTTGAAGTTATCACACAAAGCTTGTTGAAATATTTAAAAAAGCATTTTGAAAAAAGATGTTTTTCTTTTCACGCAGGCAATCATTAGTGTAGAAAAAAGATAAACTGTTGGACTTACTTTCTTGCCCCAAATATTGGAAAGGAAAATGAGTAATACCTTTCTCTTTCTACAACAAACAAGATTCTTTTACATTAAATGGTGGTACAGAAAAATTAAAGCTGGATAAGAGAGACAATGATTCTAAGGCACCCTTAGCACTGGTAATTTCAAAATAAAGTCATTTTCAGTTGGCTGCTTTAAGTTATTTTAACTTTTTAAAGAATCATTTTGACATAGGTTAAGAACAATAAACAGGTTTTCTTCTTTTCTTCTCTTCCCAGACTAATATGAACAAGCTGTTTCCAACTAGTTTGCCAGTCTTGCTTCCATACCCCAAAGTTTAGGGAAACCTAGGTAATTTTGCCTTAGCCAACAGACAGAATAAATTTGGAAATGAGAAAAACAGAAGTTTGAAATTAGGAAATAAAGTATTTTGTTACAGCTGACATGTTGGAAATGAAGCTAATAGTTGTAAATAATAAACAGTAAACATGTTGATCTATTCTGGAACATTATGGCTTAAAATGCTATTTACTTTTAATTTCACAAATAAACACAGCTGTTTTATTCTGAAAAGCAGTGAAAGACATGCACCTCTACTAGCAGATTTAGCACTTCTGACCAAGTAAGACACCAACTTCTTAAAAAATACATTTCATGCACTGTACTGGATTTTTTTTTAAGATGTAAATTTTAATACATTATTTCTTTTTTGAACTTGAACGGGAACCAGAATGGGATGATCTGGAAGATGACCTGTGGCGCCTGGATAAAGAAGTGGTGTTCCGTAGGGGTTGGCGCTGGGCTCAGGGTTGTTTAGTGTTTACACCAATCACCTGGCTTTCAGGTGACCGTGATCTTGTTAGTCTTTTTTTGCGATCACCAGATGAAGAAGATCTAGAACGACTTCTCTTTCTGTTCCTCTCAGGAGAAGATGATGAACTCGAATAAGATCTTTTTCGTGGGGAAGAAGAGCCCCTGTGGGATCTGGAGCTTGATTTCGACCCATGAGATCTCGAATGTTCTCTGGAACTGGAACGAGATCTTGACTGCGAGCTGGAAGAACTTCTTGAACGGGACCTGGACCTAGACCTTGAACTTGAGGGGGAGGATGAGCGGGATGAAGATCGTGAATGTGAAGATCGAGACTTTTAGCGACTTTATCTATTAGATTTCTTTTTATTACTATCTTCTTCTTCGCTGGCATCAAGATTATATTTTGAGAGATCAGCATCATCTTCATCCTCATCCTCATCTAATTTATATTTAGAAAGATCTTCATCCTCATCCTCTTCTTTGCCCTCAGATTCTTTATCTTCAACTTCCTTTAATATAGATGCAGGACCAACCGCCTTTCCTCTTTATTTTTTCTTTTTACGTCCAAACTCATCATATTCACCATCAGATTCTTCTCTTTCTATGTACTCAACATTTTCTCTTTCATTAAAACCGCCACCATATCCTGTTCATTCTTCTAATTTAGCATACTTTGGAGTATTACACATGTTACACTCTGATCTTCTGGCCCAATTCACATTACTGCAAGTTTTACATTGCCAATCATTAGCACTGAACAGGCCTCCGCTCTTTTCGGCAAGTGTCTTTCCTATTTCAGTTCCCCCTGCTTTCATCATCTTGGCCTCAGTTGTTTTCTCCCTATCACACCGATTACAGCTGGTTCTTCTAGCAAAGTTTACATTTCCACATTTCTTGTCAGGGCAAATCCAGTCACAGTCACTGACTCAGAAATTCTTGGTTGACATCTTGGAAGCCCCTCCTTTCAAGTTCTGAAGGGAGCACCTATGCTCCCGGTGTCTAATTTTGATGCTCATACTCTGTTCGCTAAGTAGATTGTTCTTCTCCCCTTCCTTGTCTAGAGAGCTCTTCTTTTGTAATTTACCTCTTTAATATAACACCTTCCTGTGCTAGATACAACAGTTCAGAGATTAAATCAAGTACTGCGTTGTACCATTCATCCCTGTGTTTAAGCTGAGAATATATAGTTCCTTGTGTGTAGTTGACACTTCATTATTGTCATTTAACTAGAAAGTGAATTCAGATGGTAAAGGTGTGGGAGTTTACACAAATTGGTTTTTTATTTGTCAGTAGAATGTTTACAGACCAATGGCTTTTTTCATTTTTTTTTTTTTTCAAAGGAGGAGCTTCAGCTTGCGTGAAAATGAAACCAAGGACAAGGAGAACGTGAAATGGATTGTACCACCCCTGGAGACAGCTTTTGGAGGAGTGGGAAAGCCCGGTTCACGCCCTGGTGCTCCACTTCAGCTGAAGGATGACAACAGTGTTCGTGAAATAAATCCAGAAGAAAGGTAAAAATCTATGGCATCTTGATTCCTCTGTCAGGGAACATTAGAAAGGATTACTTTTTCTAGAAAGAAACTAGAATAGTGTCCTCTTCAGGACAAACATGAGAATAGTTAACTTCTGATTCTACTGAAAATCAACTAAAATGAGAGCAAGCGTCCTTGACCGTGAGCACTTTCCTCAGTCACCAGGGAGGCCTGGCTGTGAGGACAGCTTAGACATGTCCTTAGAGAATTTTCAGGGCTAGAGACAGGAGAGAACTGGATGATAAATGGGGAATAAGGCATCCAAGAGGCTTTCTTTGTTTCTTTCTCTTTCTTTCTTTCTTGCTTGTTTTTTCTTCTTTCTTTCTTTCCTTCCTTCTGTTTTTCACCTTTTAACACATGCTTTTATAGTATGCTGTATGGATAGTAAACAATACAAAGAGCAGGACATGTTTTTAAATTTAAGTTTGTCTGTCTAAATATTCGAAGGCCTAATACATTATGTTTTAAATCATGACAAAAAACTATTGGTAATTGTTCTTTTTTTTAAAATAATTATTTTATTTATCTTTTTAAAAATTTATTATTTATTCATTTGTTTATTTTAATTTGACCAGAGAGGGACAGAGAGAGGGAGAGAGAGTGAGAAAGCAAGCCGCCAGGTCCAGTACTTGAACCACGGTTGGCCATGTGGGAATCCAGCACCCTTAACCACCATGCTACCTGCCGGCCCCGGTAATTGTTCTTAAAACTTCTATTCAGGACCAGCAGTTAGCGTAATGACTATGTCGCTGGACTCCCACATAGTCGACTCTGGTTCGTGTCCCGGAGTGGCTTAAAACTCATGCCGGGCACGTGTGTGTGTGTGCCCAGGATCCCAAGAGGAGAATGGAGAAGGGATTGTGGCGTGGCCATGGCCATCCCCCCGGGGGGTGATCTCTCACTTTCTGTCTCTCTGTCTCTCTCTGTCTGGCAAGCGCACACGCCCTATAGCAAAAACCTCTCCAGAAAAACCCAAAACCAAACAAACAAAAAAACCAAAAATCTTCTATTCAGATCATTTTAAAGTAAGAAGGCAGTTATTTGGAATGAGTTCAGAAATGAAATATCCTAATGTCCTTTTAACATCTAAATAATGATTAAAAAGTTGTGCTATCACGAATAGATCATTCTTTAAACAATGTAATAAAAAACATACAAACACTGAAGGCTGACTGGATAGAATTTATGTTTTAGTTTTCGTTTTCTTTCCCCTTATATGAAATGTGTGCTCTTCAGAGAGAGAGAAAGGTGGGTGCATTTGGTGAGAGGACATCCTCAAGGGGGATGGTGATGTCCCAGTCTCTTTTCCTAGTCTCCTCAGATTTTGGGCAAGCGTGTTAGCCCAGTGTAGTATTTCAGGCCAAGGGACCGGGACTTGAGCTGCACTGTCTGTCGTATGGATTCCAGTGCCTTCAACTCCACACCTCTTGGGAGCCCCTATGCTGAATTGGATATAATCCCCCTAGATGTGTGTATATCTGACAGTATCTGACAATATTACAAGGGAAAGCTATGATATTGTAAGATACTCTGAAATACCAGTGATATCAGCCTAATTAATTGTGTAGAATCTGGAGAACAGGGGAGAGTTTTGGTCATGTATAATAGAAAGTTAAAGTCTAGATAAACTGTCATAGATTGTTAGATTACAATAATTATGTTCTTAAGGATAAAAATGAATGTTTGCCAGCACCAGTAGTGTCCCTAACATGTAATATGTATTCAGTAAGCAGTTGTTGGATGTATGAATCCACAGTTGAACAGAGGAATGTCTGTTCAAACATTTCTTTATGCCTGTAAAGTCTCCTCATTTCCAAAAACAATTTTTAAAAAATTTCTTGCTATAAGTTGTGTGTGCTTTCCATAGAGAGACAGAGCAAGCTAATGAGAGAGAAGGAAAGTGGGGAAACAACCATTGAGGAGGTGGTCACGTTGTAATCCCTTATCTTCCATCCTCCTCTTGGGATTTTGGGCACTCATACACATGTACTAGGTGGGATTTCGAGCCCCTGGGTCCAACACTCACACTGCAGGAAGTCAGGGAGGATCCAGCGCCTTGACGACTTGACCAACTGCTGACCTCATTGGCTCCTTGTAGTAGGTTACATTCTTATGTCCAAGTTTTGCTACCTTCTCGCTTTTTTTTTCACTCTATATCAATATTTGTGATAAAATGGATCAGAGACACACCAACATCATTGATACTTTATGAAAATAAAATGAGGTGGTGGTAATGTAATAGACTGAAAATGCCCCTGACAAACGATTATGAGCCTTTTGGTGATTGAAATACAAGACAAAGTTGGAATTTATTGTTTTCTCTCATGAGAGCCGGAGCTCAGCTGGTCAGGCACAGTCTCTTTCAGCAGAGCAGCCTGCTGGTCTTACGTAGGGTTTTGGGAAGAGTGGAGATTCAGGGTCGGCAGACCAGCAGAACCATGGGTAGGCTGACGTCATCAGAAGCAGCAGGGTTATTCAGTGAGAGTGTTACTCACGGTTGGCCCTGGAAGGCATGTTTATTACAGTGGGTTTTTGCAGACAGGCTGCCTTTCCAAAGCAAGTGGCTTACCTTGTTGGGTTGGTAAGTAAGGGTAGCAGTCACTGTTGAATACATGTCAAAGCGAGGTGTGGGTGAAACACCGTGCTCTGTGAGGTAATCTACATCAGAAGGTGCTGGGTTTGCATCCTTCGTTGTCCCTGAGTGCTAGGTGAGAGCATGCCTGTGGTCTGGAACTGGCTGAGCTAAGGGATGAGTTACAGCATGGGGACCTGTGTGGGGTGCTGACTCTGTGTTGTCTGTCTCTTTCTATAAGAAAGAAATGAGTGAATAATGGAAACACTGGTTCTGGGGGTTTTGGTATTACGACGGCTATGATCAGTCTGCTCTAACTCTGAGATGATTTTGACCAGAGGTTTTCTGTTTACAAGTTGTCTTCTGGGCAGGCTGGTGGCATGGAAATTAGGGTGACTAGATCTCACAGTATCGACTGCAAGGTCCAACTCCTCGATCTGGCAGCTTGAGAAATACACAGCGTGAGTGTGTTGGTGACTGGATCATGAAAAGACGGTGGAGGAGAAGGGATAGTGGTGTAGCCATCCAGCTGAGGGGTGTTTTTCTCCTTTTCTTTCTCTCTCTGGCAATCCCACACACCGTAGCAACAACAACAACAGAAAAGTTGTTGCCATCCATCAACTTGTTTGAAATGAAAATTCTTTCGTATTCTTCAATTGTAGACATAGGTTTGAAGTTTAAAGTTTGGGTGAAGAAGAATGGTTTAAGGACCAGCAGTTAGCGTAATAGCTATGTTGCTGAACTCCCATGTAGATGTCCGTGGTTTGAGTCCCGGACCCGGTGGCTTAAACTCATGCCAGGTGCGTGTGCATGCATGCCCAAGATCACGAGAGGAGAAGGTAGGAGAAGGGATTGTGGTTTGGCCATCCCCCCTTGGGGGTGATTTCTCGCTTTCTATCTCTCTGTCTCTCTCTGTCTTTCTGGCGAGTGCACGTGCCCTGTAGCAAAAGAAGTTAAAAAAAAAAAGGTTTAATGATTGCTCTCAGGATGATTTCCTCTACTTTATATACTTCATTTTAACTGGAATAGTTATTTATATAACTTTTTTTGGTCCATAACTGTTTACTTTCCTTTTTAGTATTCTTATGGGTTCACACTCAACTCTGTACATACTAATCTGTAGTGGGAAATGTTAGTCTTTTTATAAATTTATAAAGGCATAGACTAGTAATGATGCTCTTATGCATGTTGTTTACCACATAACAAACTAATGAGGTTTTTTCTATTAATATTAGAATTAAGTGCCTGGTGAAATGTGTACAAATGTTATCTAGTCAATTTAGATTTAAGCAAAATCATCAGTAATTAGATTCTTGCTTTTTGGAACTATATATAATGACGCTTTGGTATTTTCAATTTAAGGTCCTTCAGACCCTGCCCACTCATTATTTCCCAAATTTCTAATTTCATGTTTTACCTGACTCATGCTATGTTAAAAAATGTGTTTAAGGGAACCAGCAGTTAGTGTAATGGCTATGTCTCTGTACTCCCACGTAGTCGACTGCGGTTCGCATCCCAGACCCAGTGGCTTAAAACACGCCAGGCGCATGTGCGTGCGTGCCCAAGATCCTGAGAGGAGAATGGAGGAGAAGGGATTGTGGTGTGGCCATCCCTGCTGGGATTTTTTTTTTCTCGCTTTCTGTCTCTCTGTCTCTGTCTGGTGAGCACACGCACCCTATAGTGAAAAAAACCTCTCCAAAAAAAATGTGTTTAAGTGAACATTGGTGTACACAGAAATACTCTTCGAAACGAGAGTGCTAATCTCCGTAGATTACTCCTGTGTGTCCCACTCATTGCTGGTAGGCGGTGAGTGCCAGCCTTCTCGGGTCACATTCCCTCATAGTGTTGCATTCACCTCTGATACTAGCTTTCCTGCATCCTGTACTGTCCTTCCAATTCATTTTTAAAAACTGTTATTCTAGGAAGTATTTAATTTAATTTTACTCAGCATTGTTGTTATTTTTAATTTGACCAGAGAGAGGCAGAGAGAGAGAGAGAGAAAGTAAGAAAGCAATCCACCAGGTACAGGACTCAATCCTTGGTGAGCCATGAGGGAGTCTAGTGCCCTAAACACCATGCCACCCACCTACTAGCCACTCCTTCCAATTCTTTTATTTATTATTATAATAATTTCATTTATCTTATAGTAAATCACATTTAACTTTACAGTGTGTTACATTTCTTTTTCCAGAAGGAATGCCATGCCTATCAGTCAAGACAAAGACATTACTATCCATATCGTCATGATCAAATAGCATTTTATCATTTTTTTCCAAATTATTATTATTATTTTTATTCTAATTTTTTTAGACATTCAATCACTATATATAATTTTGTTATAGGGAACCAGCAGTTAGCATATTGGCTATGTCGCTGGACTCCCACGTAGTTGACCATGGTTTGCGTCCCGGACCCGGTGGCTTAAAAAACTCACGCCAGGCGCGAGTGCGTGCGTGCCCAAGATCCCGAGAGGAGAATGGAGGAGAAGGGATTGTGGCGTGACCATCCCCCCTGGGGGGTGATTTCTCGCTTTCTGTCTCTATGTCTCTCTCTGTCTGTCTGGCGAGCGCACGCGCCCTACAGTGAAAATCTCTCAAAATTTACCCAACATGAAATACTTCTTAGACCAGCCCAGTTGAGAATTCTATTCATGTTATAATCAGCAGGTAATAAACCATTTCTGTGTCCCACTAACATCATATTTCTCTTTTTTTTGGAGAGGTTTTACACTATAGGGCTCTTGCGCTCGCCAGAAAGACAGAGAAAGACTTAGAGACAGAAAATGAGAAATCACCCCCCAGAGGGGATGGTCACGCCGCAATCCCGTCTCCTCCATTCTCCTCTCGGGATCTTGGGCATGTACACACACGCGCCCAGCGTGAGTTTTTTTTTTTTGTTCTTTTTTTGAGAGTTTTTTGCTACAGGGCGCGTGCGCTCGCCAGACAGACAAAGAGAGACAGAGAGACAGAAAGCAGGAAATCACCCCCCGGAGGGGGGTGGCCATGCCACAGTCCCTTCTCCTCCATTCTCCTCTCGGGATCTTGGGCACACATGCACGCGCCCGGCGTGAGTTTAAGCCACCGGGTCTGGGACTCGAACCGCAGTCGACTATGTGGGAGTCCAGCGACATAGCCATTACGCTAACTGCTGGTCCCCCGGTGTGAGTTTTAAGCCACTGGGTCCAGGACGCGAACCGCGGTTGACTACGTGGTAGTCCAGCGACATAGCCATTACGCTAACTGCTGGTTCCCAACATCATATTTCTCTGTTTGCTCACTTGCTATCCTTCTTTATACTCTTGCCGTCTCCCACCCTGTTCTACACTGTCTTCAGCATCCCTGTTTTAACTGCTTTCATGCCTGTTAGTCCTAACGATTCTTTTTTTTTCCTTCTTTTTCTTAGAGAGGTTTTTGCTATAGGGCGTATACGCTTGCCAGAAAGACAGAGAGAGACAGACAGAAAGCGAGAAATCACCCCTCAGGGAGGATGGACATGCTCCTGGCCTTTCTCCTCCGTTCTCCTCTCGGGATCTTGGGCATGCACGCACATGCATCCAGCATGAGTTTAAGCCACCGGGTCTGGGACTCAAACCACGGTTGACTACATGGGAGTCCAGTGACATAGCCATTACACCAACTGCTGGTCTCAGTGCTTCCAATTTTTTTATTTTTGGAGAGGTTTTTGCTATAGGGTGTGTGCGGTCACCAGAAAGACAAGAGAGAGACAGGGAGATAGAAAGCGAGAAATCACTCCCCAGGGGGGAGTGATGGCCACGCTGCAATCCCTTGTCCTCCATTCTCTCAGGATCTTGGGCACGCACACGCCCGACCTGAGTTTAAGCCACCGGGCCTGGGACTTGAACCAGGGTCGGCTACATGGGAGTTCAGCGACATAGCTGTTACGCTAACTGTTGGTTCCCCAATCCTTTCGATTCTTATGGGAGCACTTACGCTCTCTGTGTCTAAACGTGCTCACTCTTGTTTTGCTTAGGAGATTGCTTTTCTTAATTCTTTTCTGTTTGGACAGCTAGTCTTTTATTTTTTATCTTTTTAATATACAGCCTTTTTTTTTTTTGGAGAGGTTTCTCCTATAGGGCACATGAGCTCACCAGAAAAAAGGAGAGAGACAGAGAGACAGAAAGCAAGCAATCACCCCCCAGGTGAAATGGCAACAATGGAATCCCTTCTCCATTTTCCACTCAGGAAATTGAGCATGCATGCACACACATCCGTTGTGAGTCTAAGCAACTGGGTCTGGGACTCAAACCATGGTCGACTATATGGGAGTCTATAGCCATTATGCCATCGGTTGGTCCCAATATTAAGCCTTCTTTCTGCTCAGGTACAACTTTTCAGGAGTGGATGGATGTGTCACATTTTTCTATTTACCCCTATTTGAGGCCGAGAATATGCATGTCTTTGTATGTAGTTGATTCTTTAGAATCATGTTTAAACAAG